CTGCCTCCTTTGGAAACTATAGACCTCCATTTTGGAGTGTGCTTTATTCCATGTCCTGTTAAAAGCCCTGTCTTCTGTTTCACTTGTTCCTCCTACACTAGAAAAGTCGGATCAACAACTGGCCTTCCATTCTTCCCTGGACACTGGACCCTCTGCTTGGTTTGCCCTCACATGAAATTGATCCTTCTTCAATAATCTCAACCTATTTCCAATGACTTGTTTGTGGGTTACCCTCAAACACACCTTCCTCCAGTCACCGTGTATCCACATTTCCTCTTGACCACCATGCATGATCCCAGTTCTGCAATGTCTATCCTCTTCTGCCTGGTCTACTCTCACTGTTCTAACTCCCCTAATAGCCTTGCACCCAAATCACCACCCTTTACTCACTATTCCTCCAGCCGCATTGCCTCTTTTCATCTCTAACTCAGTTCAGGAACTCCACGCACTCCATCTTTTATTTTGTTTCACTTCTTTATTTGACTTTTCATGGACAGAAAATTGCCTGTGCTTTTTGTGCACTCCTGATTTTAATCCACATGTGCTCTCTACCCCCCCACTCAAATGGGCCCTTTTTTCTCTTGATTTCCTGAAACCATAGTCATCCTAGAATCCAGTGTCTGCTGCATCCTTAGCTTCCTTGCACAAAGCAGCTGCAGCAGTACCATAAAGACATGGGAATATCCCTTTAACACCACGACATGAGCCACTTCATGATGTTTAACACTCTGTACTCTGTTTGTTAATTCACTCTAATATATCCCCAGGTCTCTGAAACTCTGTTAAGGTTTGTGTCTAATTGTTCCCCAAAAGTCTTAAGTAAGTCACGGGGTAGACTTCTAGAGTTTGTGATTAACTCATGATCCACTGTGATTATGGGTGTGAGTACTACCTCTAGTCTGGGGCAGATAGCCTGAATGAAGCATAAGAGAGACAAACTTATTCTCTGTAACCACTGTTGCTGTACCATTATATTTTGCTCTTGCTCTTTGGTGCTGCCATGAAAGTTTGCTCTTTGCCATGTGCTGCTCTGTCTTGGAGTCAGTTGAGTATGGATTGAAACCACCAAGAACTATGAGTTAAATAAACCTTTTTTTCTTTCATTTTAGGTGTCAGATATGTGTCCCAGCAACGAAAAAAGAGTAACTGAGGCAACTTTCTTCTTTTCCGTATCTCTCCTTCCTCATTCTCTCACTTTGTACCACTTTGTCACAGTTCTGTAAACTGTCACAGTCTCAGTCCTACAGCATTTTAACTAAAAGTCTGAACCTTGACAATGTTTGAGTTCACTTTTGCATGTTGGACATTGTCCTATTCTTATGAGATTTTGAAGAGTTTAGAGGAGTACAAATAATACTACTCTTTCATGTGTAAATATCACATTAAGGCACACATTCTTATGCTGATTGAGTGTGTAAGTATATTTAATTATTCATATTTTTTTTTTTTTTGCAGAACCGGGTCATATCTGTATTTGATGGGATTCCAAAAGGAAAAAGTTGTGCTGTCCTATTTCATTATATCTCTAACTCTGAGTGTTATTATTTATGTATTTATTTTGTTACTTGTGATTGAAATCTAGACATTAGCAGTTAGCTACACTGTCAAGATATTTTCTTAAAAATTTTGATATACAGTCAGTAGCCATCATTATGTTGCCCAGGCCAAGGGTGAAATTGAAATTTTTTGCTTGTTTGTTTTTGTTTTTGACTTTTTTTAGGACAGGGTCTACAGGGTCTCACTATTCAGATCAGACTCATAGTGATCCTCCTGTTTACAGCCTACCAAGCTCTGAAATTACAGGGGTGATCCACCATGCCCAGTCTCAATCACCATCTCAGTGTGCCCTGGGGGTGGGTTGGCAGGGCAGGCCCGGGGATCTAACTTTCGGCCCTTGTGTCTGCCTAAACAGACACTTTAATCCTCTGAGCTATCTGGCTTGCCTTTGAAATGGAAATATTTTTGCCTTACCCTCCTAGATTTCAGAGACTTGTCTTGAACGAATATACACTAGCTTCTCAGTTTCAGTATTTTTAGAGTGATACTATGAATTTATATCAATAAATGACATTGTGAGGGGTGGGAATGTAGGTGTGTATTTTTACATAATTAGTCTGTGGCTGCAGACTCGTTATTCTGGCAGTGTATTTCTGAGTACATATCTGTGTTATGCTTGTGTGTGACTGCACACATGTGTTCTGGTGCATTCATGTGTATGTCTTTGCATCTGTGTTGTGCTTATGGTTTTTAAAACTTTTTATTTTGCTTTCCTTGCTTGTAACTTTAATTTCAGTGGTGTGGCTTAAAGATAATAAGAATGGAAGGGCGTTGTGCAATGCAGAAGAGAAACATCCCAGGGAGGAACAAAGTTAAGAGACATGGGAGCCTCACTGCAGGCCCATGGGTCAGACTTTAGAGTTTCCTTTTGGCCTCCATCTGAGACTTGGTCTCCTCCAGAGCCAAGGAGAGGGGGAGCTTTTGCCAAAGACTTCAGTGGTCTCTTTAGATATGCTAATGACAAGCTCAATTGGCTTTACTAATTAGGAACTGACAAAAGTTTTGCAGCAATATTCTCAACTCTCCAAGCACCTGTTGAAATTCTTACTAAAGATGAAATGTTAAGCAGACTTTTGTGGGGAGATGAGGTCAAAGTGTGGCAGATATTTTTGTAGCAGAGAAGAAATACACATACCCATCTTGGCTGGGAATGGCTGTCATAGCAGGTTACAGCAAGGTAAGTACTTACTTCAAGGTTGAAACAACAAAGGTATGAGAGATAAGAGATATAGGTGTTTCATAAGTCTTTTTTATGATCATAATGAAAAACATAATTCTTTATGTTTAAGACTGTTTCAAGGCAGGCTTTTCTATACCTGAGCTATATCCCTAACATGTGTTTTGATTTCAATGTTGCATGTGTGTCTTTAGTATACCTCACAAATCCCAGCTTGTTATTACAAGCTTTGTTTACATCGTGTTTGTGCATGCGTAATTATAGGTTTAAAATCAATATGGATTTGCTTTCTCTCATGACATCAAGTCTATATTTGTGCTTCAGAAAAAGAGTTGGGAATGCAGTTAGATTGTTCAATGATTCTTGCCATAAGTAAAATTGTACTATTGTTTCTAGCTTAAAGAATTACAAATATTCTTGGTGTCATTTTAGTCTTGTGTACACCTCCTATGCCTTGTGAGCTGATCTGGACAGAGCACAGGTACTGCATATTGGATAGCCCTCAGCACATCTGCATTAGCCTAGGGTTGATAAATCAATACAATAAACAATGGCATAATAAAAACGTGAAAATGTTGAAATCCATTATAAATACAATGTTACATATCACATTATCTATTAAAAATAAAAAAGCTAAATTTTAACTGAATTATTCAATGAAAGCAAATCATTTTATAGTGACTATGAAACAGTGAAAATGTATCTTTCACAAGATCCATAGGTTACTTTCTCCCTTTGCTCCTCATCTGCATATGGATCTATACTAAAAATCTTTTTGTCTATGCTCTCCTACCGCTCATTGCCTTGTGCAGTGCTGTTTCCGTGCACACACTCAACTTTTGGAAGCACACTAGTAAACGGAAAAAGCACACACATACACACTTCTCTAGAGGCAGATTAAGAGGTAAGTTTGACCTTTCTTACAATTGTTTCTTTCAATTGTTTATGATATTGAAGGAAGCTTTCTAGGAAAAGTTAAAGAAATAATTTAGAAATTTCAAATACAGAAAAAAGAAGGATGCAAAATTTCTCAACACTCAAATGAATCGTGTGATATTGTGTCAGGTTGTAAAATCAAATGCAATCTTCAGGCTCCAGTGTTCCTATGTGCCATAAACATGCAGAATTCATGGTTATCTTGCATTTTATATTATTCAGAAATCATACATGACTTTTTTATTTTTCCAAACACAAAAGTACAGTTACATATTTTCTAATGGACATTAATTTTCTGTCATTTTTCTTTTACTTAAGTTCATATCCCTTCCCTACACCTGAGTCTCATGTTGTTCATAATATATGTACTAAGTACCTCACATTATTCATGATATTTGTAGGAGGCATCACAAAAACAGCATTCTCTCCATCTCCATCAGATTTTTTTTTTTAATTTGGTATTTTAGTGAAGGGTTTACAGGGTTTTCAGGGTCTCACTACTAGATTGGACTTGTAGTGATCTACTTGTTTACAGCCTCCCAAGAGCTGGGATTACAGGCACGTGACACCACGCCCAGTCTCAATTGCCTTCTCAATGTGCCCTGGGGGCGGGGTTAGCATGACAGTCCTGGGGATGGAGCACCTGACCCCTACTCATCCACTGAGCTATTTGGCTGACCCGCCATAAGAATTTTAATGTTGGTTTTTATTTATTGAATATAATTTAATCATGAGCAATTGCTTAGTATACCAATATTTTCAATCTTCTTTCATAATACTGTCTTATAGAGAAATATTTTCTCAAACCTTTAACTATAAAAGTCAGATGCATTAAACAGATATCAAATATGAAAGCATATACATATATTTGTAATATTAAATGACCCTCACCATAGCTCTCTGATACTGAAGCACAGAAGTGAGTATACTATTCTCGCCTGGCTGCCAGTTCCATATCTTGTCTTTGTAGGCATTTACATGAGTGACACAATGTCTGTTGTGCTAAGATATCTGGGTAAATGAAATGTCCTAAATGACTGGATGGTATTAAGGAAGTTAGAAGAGGTAAGTGATTATTTGCAGGGAGCAAATACTGGAAATAAAAACCTTAACAAAATAAAATAGACATTAGAAGTAAATTCATAAGGAATGCTGTTGATAAGAAAATGTACTAAATTTTATTTTCTGGAAATTGCTGAACTCAAAATTTCTCTTTCCTTACAGAATCCCATATTTTTCATATTTATGCTAAATGCTGGTCCATAAGTGACTGACTGCTATGGATTTGAAACTTGGAATAATATTTATTTTTCAGATTGTCATGGGAACCATGGGCAATTTCTCACTCTTGTGTAACTATGTATACCTCCACTTCAGTGGGTACAGGTCAAGGTCAACAGACATTTTTCTCAGACACCTCATTGTGGCCAACTCCTTAGTTATTCTCTCCAGAGGGATCCCAGAGACCATGGCAGCTTTTGGGAAGGAACACTTCCTTGATGATCTTGGATGCAAATTGGTTTTCTATGTTCAGTGGGTGGGCAGAGGTGTTTCCATGGACTCCACCTGCCTCTTGAGTGTCTTTCAGGCCATCACCATCAGCTCAAGGAGCTCTATCTGGGCCCAGCTGAAAATGAAAATGAAAGACCTAACATACATGGAGCCTTCTATTATTCTCTGCTGGGTTTTGCACCTGCTGTTAACTGTTAGAATTCCTGTGCTTATAACTGATAAAAGGAACAGAAAAAACTTCTCAAAAACTATACACTTTCAGTATTGTTCATTGATGCTTCGTGAAAACACCACAGGCACATTATTTGCAGCATTGACATTATCCCATGATATTTTGTGTTTAACGTTCATGATCTGGGCCAATGCCTCCATGGTTCTCATTCTTTACCGGCACAAGAAGCAGGCCCACTATATCCAAAGACAAAACTCATCTAGGGCTTCTGCAGAGACTAGAGCTTCTCAACGCATCCTTGCTCTGGTGAGTGCCTTTGTATTCTTCTACACCCTGTCTTCCACGCTTAATGCTTGCTTCACTCTTATTGATAAAACTTCTTTGTGGCTAGTGGACAGCATTACCCTAATCAGTGCTGGTTTCCCTACTGTGAGCCCTTTTATTCTTATGAGTCATGAATGCTTTCTATGCAGGCTCACCTGGAAGAAGTGAACAGACTTTTTACCTTGTCATGTGTGTATTTTACCTGGTTTCTATGCATTGGTGTACAGGTGCACATGTGCTACACAAACTTAGAGCAATTTTGTGAGCCTGTCTTATTGCAGACAGAGATATGCATAAGGCACGTAGACTGACAGAGTTATGTTTAATAATAAATGATCAAAATATAAACGAAAATTCTTTTAACGTTAATTATATATTTTTAATTTAAGGTTTTTGTTGTCTGATTTATTTCTTTATATTTTTACTTTTTATTTTATACAGAGTACAAGTCATAATGAATTTTGTCTTCCAATCAGTTATTCATATTACCAGATATATGTATGTAAACTTAGAAGAAATAAAAGAAAGAAATGTATAAGAAATTAAGAAGAGAAATAGTACACACAATTGAAAAAAAGAGATAAAAATTTTAAAACATTAACTGCTTTTTCCATTGGACCAGCAGAAATGTACAGTACAGTTTTCCTAACCACCTTCCTTATATATGAAGATTAGTCTCTTTCCCCGATTACCTCTGCTGTCCTCCTCAACTCAGTAACTGTTTCCTTTTAAATAAGTTAATTTCCTTTTCCCAAAATTTATTGTACGCTTCAGATTCTATTTTCCTCTTTCAGGTTCTCTCACTAAGGAGACAATACAACGTTTGCACATGTGGGTCTTATTTATTTCACTTAAATTATATTGCATCCATTTACTTACTTAAGACTCAAATTTATCCTATTTTATAGGTTAATAATATTCCATTGTGTAAAAATACCACATCTTCTTTTTAAAATGTATTTGGTTGTTACAGGGTATCACTGTACAGCTCAGACTTATGGTGATCCTCCTGCTTTCTGCTTCCCCAGCACTGGGATTACAGGCATGCAACACTACACCCAGACTCTGGCCAGCTCAGCCCACTCTGGTGTTGGTGTTGGTATGGCTTGTGGTATAGGGGATCAAACTGCGGTCCCTGTTCTTGCCTTAGCTTGCCTGAGCAAGTATGCTATTCCACTGAGCTATCTCACCACCTACTCACAACTATTTGCCCATTCTTTGGATGATAGGCATCTGGGTTGTTTCCAGTGTTTAGCTATGACAAATTGTGATGCTATAAACATGGATGCACATATATCACTGTGATATGAGGTTTTCAGTTGTTCTGGAAAAATATCCAGGAGGGGATTATCTGACTTGAGTGTGATCTCTCCAGTCTTAGCTTTTTAAGGAATGTCTACCCTCATTTCCGTAGTTGTTGTACCAGTCTATACCCCCACTAACAGTGAAGTGTTCCTTTTTTTCCACAGCCCGTCGAGCATTTGTTATTGGCTGATTTTTGATGTTAGTCATCCTTTATGGGGTGAGATGGAATCTCAGTATTGTTTTAATTTACATTTCTTGGATCATCAATTATTTTGAGCATTTTTCATATTTTTATTGCATTTGTATTTCTTCCTCTGAGAAGTGTATATTCATCTCATATTCCCATTTTGGGATGTGTTCTTTGAATTCGGGGGACTTTTTAAAAATTGGATGTTCTAAGTAGGAGGCATTCGTTGGAGAGACAGGTACCTGTAAACTTTTTTCCAAGTCATGGGTTTTCTTTAAACTGTGCTTGAGATTTGCTTTGAGGTGCAGAAACTTCAAAAAGATGAGATCTAAGGTGCTGATTCTTTGAATTGTTTGCTTCACAAACTCTTTACGTATCTCTAAGTCTTTAAGATTTCTACCTACTTTGTTATCCAGAATATTTAGTGTTCCTGTTTTTATATGGTAATAAGTAGGTGTCTAATTTTAGCCTTCTGCATGTGAAAAGCTTTTTTTTTCCAACACAATTTGTTAATTAAAGGGGCTATCTTTCTTCCAGTGAACATGTTTGGCTCCTTTGTCAAAGAGAAGGTGGCTGAGTGTGTTTCTAGTTGCATCTATAGCTTTTAACCTATTTCCTTGATTCTCAGCTTTAATTTTTCAAAGTACTATGCTTATTTTACCACAGTAGCTTTGTAGTATAATTGCAAGTTAGAGATTGTGAGGGCACCTGCTTTGACTTTGATGCCTCAAATTACTTCTGCTGTTCTAAGTCTTTTGGTTCCAAATGAATTTGTAGAATGATTTTTCTATACCAGTGAGGTATACTAATGGCATAGGGTTGCTTTGCATCTGTATGAAAATATCATTTTTTTCCTATCCAGAAGAAAAGAATATCTTTCCATCTTGTGAACTCCTCTTTAATGTCTTTTTTTCAGATTACTATAATTTTTATCTGTATGAACAATTTACTCTCATTGTGTAATTGATTCATATTTCATTTTTGGGTGTGTTATTGTGAAAGGGTTGTCTTCAATAATTTTTCTGTGAGTACTTTCATTGTTTATGCACAGAAATGCTTTTGAGTTTTGACTGTAACTTGCTATGCTACTGAACTGGCTTATTTAAGTCTGCAACTCTGTTGTTGGCGTTTTGGGGATCTTCTATGTACAGCACCATTTAATCTGCAAATAATGATTATTTTACTTCTTCTTTTCCAATCATTATTAATTTTATTTCTCCCTCTTGTGTAATTGTTCTGGCTAATGTTTCCAGAATGATACTGAACAGGTATGATGACAATTGGCATGCTTTTCTTCTTCCTGATAGTTTGTTTTTGGGTTGGCTGGAAGTCTGATATTCCCTTTTGCTCCTTATATTTGATATTTTTGCAGCTCCCAATGCTCATCCTGAGTGTGAATCACTATTAGGGGGCAAGGTGCATGTAAGAAAGTGTCCAACAAAAGGGCATGGAGCAGTAACTTCATCAAAGCTCAGCTATGTTGGATTTAGTGTGTCTTCCACCTTGTTGCAGCAGGGTGAAAGCCACAGCTCAGGAAGGATCCCATGATGATAACGGAAAACCAAAGCTCCACATGATTCTTTCAGTGGTGGGAGGATGCAGGGTAGAGTTCACCAAGTCTCCTGATGCCAGTGGGGCAGGAATCAGCAGTTCAGCAGAACTACAGAGACACCAGTGGTGGGAGAGGCAGTCACAGTTTATCCGAGTTCCAGCAATAATGGGGGTAGTGGGTGATGCATGGCTCATCTGGTCCTACTAGCTTTCCTGGTGCCACCTGGCTTCTACAAGGTGGAAGAAGTGGCTGAAGCTCAGCTGAAATCTGGTGAGCATTGCTATCAACAAATAAATTTTAAATTGCATCTTATGACAGTATATGAAATCTCCAGCTTTTCAATATATTTGGAGAACAGTGTACATCTGTGTAATTTTTTTAAGTACCTGGGATTGAACTCAAGACCATGCGCTTGCCAGGAAAACACTTATTCTACTGAGCTATCTCCCTGGGCCCTATTCGTGTAATTTTGAGCAAATAATTTTCACTCAAATGTCAAACTCTGTGATCTTTTCTTAATACATGTGGAACAAAACAATAACATTTGTGAGAGGCTGGGGCCCAGGAAATAGGTCAGTAGAATAAGTGCTTGCCTGGCAAGCACAAAAGCCTGAGTTCAATCCCTAGTTATGTCAAAAAAAATTGTGAGAGGCAGGAATCACTTCCTGATTCCTGTGTGTATTTCCTTTGCCTTGATCAGTTCTGAAAATTAGATCTCCTAAAGTATACTTTTGTGAAGGGATGGCCAGGAATTGTTGCCTTCCTCTGATTCTCCAAGCCATGGAAATTTATACTTTGTGCAACATTCTTCCCCAGCTTCCGCCACTGATGTGAGGTTCTGAGCCGTAGCTGCCACACACTTGCTACTGAAGAACTTTCCAAAGAGAACAGCGTCAATGCCTTGTATGTCCCTATCACCTAAAATAGCTTCCTTCTGAATCTGTGCTTTGTCTCGATTTTCTTTTTCTCATTTCCTGGTGAAAATTCATTTAATATTACATCTACACTCATGGCAACTTTTTCCTTTTAAAATACAGTATTTTCAATCATAGGTCAAGTTTATAGTCTCTGGAAATTATCTGGCTTAATTAAATGTCTCTTTCTTCAATAATTTTTCTGTTGTTTCCCTTTCTCCCAGCTCCTGTAAAGCACTCTTCTTTCTGCTTCCATGTGGGACCACTTTTTATTTCATGTACATGTGCAATCACACAGGATTTGTTTCCGTTTCGTTTTCAATTGCTTTGTTTTACTTAGCATAAAGTCCTTAAAGATATTCTCTTCAAACATAGCCAGACTTCCTCTTCTTCTAAGCCTGTGCATTAGTTTTATGTACATGGAATAATTTATGCGTCTGGTCCTCAACGACATATTTTTTTTTGTCTTTGCTACATGTTTGACAGCAAACATCACTTTCACATCTGAATACTACTTCTTAGTATATACCAAGAGGTTCACCTGCTGGATCATACAGTAGGAATTGTTTTTCGTGTTTTCATATATTTGGCACAGAATCTCACTACGTAGCTTAGACTTATAGTAGTCCTCCTGTTTTAAGCTTCCCAAGTGCTGGATTACAGACGTGCACCACCATGCCAAGACACGAACACTGGCTTAGTGCACCCAGAGGAAGGGCAGGTGCAGCATGCAGTGCTGGGGATCAAACCCTGGTCCCTGTGCTTGCCAAAACAGCAACTCAGCCCCCTGGGCTATCTTTCTAGCCCTAGTTTTTCATGTTTTCAAATCAACATAGTGTTTTCTGTAGTACTGGAACAATTAAAATACCCATCAGTGGCACTGTGGAGTTGATTTTCCTCTATATTTCATCATTTTTAATGGGGTTTTTTGAGAGAAAAGAGTTCTATTTTTTCCATTGTCACTTTCTATGTGACTTTTTAAATTTATTTTTTTGAGAAATAAATAGAAATAAGACAGTTTCACAATAGATTAGTAGGACAGTTTCAATAATTAATACATTGCACATTGTTGTCTTCATAGTGGTTATTCATAGTACAAGATGCAGACATGATATCCTGTTCAAACACTATTAGTATAAATCTTTCTTCTCATTGAATTAAGAGAAAGTATCTATACCTCTATCCTATTTTGTATATACAGATACAAAAT